TATTTATTTTTAAATTAGCTCCATTGTTTGATTTTGTTATTTATTACAAGAGGCATTAATTCCAAAGTAATAAAAATGTTTAAAAATTAAGAGAAACCAACAAGTCAATTCTCTTTCTGACCAAATGAACCATTTAGCAAGAAGATGAAACAGAAAAAGACAGGATGCTCTACTGTGAGGAAACAGGAGATCCAAAGATCTGTGGCTATCCAGCTTAGACAGAACAGAAATTTTCAGGTTCAGTGAGAGACCTGGGATGAAGTGAATAAGGGAGAAAGCAACAGGGGACACTCAATTTCATCATCAGACCTTCCAAATCACCAACAGATGTATGCACCCTTAGACAGGCATATTCACACACAGACACACAGCCCTCAAGTAATCAGTGATCAGAATGCAATGAGGAGGACATCACACTGGATGAGGATGACATTACCAGTTGGATTAAGACTCCTCACACTAGCAGTTATAAGTGAGTCCCACAATGTTGCATCATTTTGGAACAAAAATGCCTGGAGAATCATGCTGTGTTTCTGCAGGCTATGTTGATGCAGTTGGCTCAAATCTGCCACCCTGACCCCTGCATGTCATAAGCCCTTGCCACATCCCTGGTCATCCAGTGAGCTTCTGAATGTAAAATCCAGGATGGGAGAACTGGCCAAAGGCACTCACAGCAAACAGTACTGACAAACTGTTAATTTAGTTTCATCAACTGTGAGCCAAGGGCTTGGCCAGGTAAAGAGAACACCATGGCCGTCTGGGAACAAGAGGGAAAAATGCCACATGACACCCAAAAAGATGTCTATGAGCCCTAGTCATTTGGCTTTTTCAGGGGGTGTTCCTCGTTCCATGCTGTGTCTGCTCTGATCTCACATGACCCATGGCAAGCAAATTAGACCCAGACCCTTGACCTGACTCACACAAATCTGTTTCGCTCCATCATAGCATGGCTCCTCCCATACTGACATGCAGGTGAGTGGTGTGTGATTGACCTGTCTCCCTCAATGGACTGCAGCTTCCAGCAGAGCAGTAGAGTTTGCTTGCTCTAAGAGGCTAACTCCCAGAAAGACTTGTGAATGATCACAGAAGTAAACTAACTATTGGATGGGTCAGTTGGATAAGTGAGTAGATGGTTACATGTGTGTGTGTGTGTGTGTGTATATGTGTGTGTATGGTCAGACTGATGGCCAGGTTGGCCCTGCTGCTTCAACTTACCTGCAGCTGCCTTGTCCAGAGGTCATAGATCTTCCCATGGGCCTCTTCACAGAGCCTCTTTGCCTCCTCACAGGACTCTTGTAGTAAAATCTGCTCCCCCTGTAGCTTTTTCTTGTCCTCTAGCAACATTCTCACTTTTTCCTTCAGCTGAGTCTGTTCACTCAGGTGCTGACTGTAGAGGGTGCTGAAATATCACCAAAAATGATGAGCTCCACCTCCATCTGCCACTCCTGCCTCCCAATACCATGATTCCTGCAAGGTCCCATGTCCCCATCCCCAACAGCCCTGGCCTGGAGCCCTCATTAGCCATGGCAGCATCACTCAGGTGCAGGCCAACCCAGAGAATAGCCAAATTCCAGAGAGATTTACACTACTTCTGAAGACCCTGACAGCAAAAGGGATCCATCTACCTCTGAAGACTGGATCTGCTGCCTCCCGCACACACACCCTGGTGCTTAACTGTTCACAGTATTGGGAAAACATAAGCAGGTAGAGGGAAACCATGCTATGAGGGAGACAGAAGACCCATCGGGAATACATTCCATCCATGTGTCTCATAGAAAGCAGCTCTGTAAGCTCCTGCCAGAGCCACAGAAACTGTTCATGGTGCAAACTATGTTTTCTGTCTAGAAATTCCAGAAGCTGACAGGAAAATGTTGGGA